AAATTCTCAGGCACTTCTCCCCTCAGGGTGGCAGAGTGACCCTGGCAAGCGAAGCCTCTTGTCCAGTGGTTCTGACAAAATTACCAAGGCTTGGATGTAGTTTGGGTCACATGACCAACTCTAAGCCAGTCACTTGACTGAGAGATGGAATATGCTCTGATTGGCCAGGCCTGGGTCATAGACTCACCCGAGGGACTTTGGGTTCAGTCCATCTGAATGACTTGGAATCAGAGTGGAAAATGGAGGATGTGTTACTGGAATACAGAATAGAAGGACAGAGCCACCAGATGGTCATCACATGGCCTGTTCTGGTGCTAACATATGTTAGTGCCTCCTGGAGATTGTGCAGGGGAGGGGGTCGGGGGAAGGGCTCCTGCTCTGTGTCCTGCAGGGACCTGAGACTGACCAGTTGGGCTGTAAACCTCTGCATAGCTGGCCTTGGGCAGGAGCAATAGACACAAATGGGGGTCCCAGAGGGAAGAGTCAGGACCAGTCTACCGGTTTGAGCTTTGAGAAATCATGTGCTGTAATGAAAGGTGGTGAGTGTCCCATCACAGGCAGCAAGCAAGCAGACTCAGGAGCACCTGGTCTGAAGACTGTAGAGGGAACTCCTGCATCAGGGGGGCATTGGGGTGCTTGGGACCCCCTTCTCCAGGGCCAGGGCCACTGGCTCTGATGGTTCTTTCCCCTCCCCACCTGGCTTGCTTCCCCACTCTCCCACAGATTACTGAGCTTGTCCCGGAAGTCCTCATCGATTGGCAACTTCAATGTAAGTGTCCCAAGTGCTCTTGCCTGGTCCAACGTGAGGACAAGACTGGGCCTATTCTCCCTTGGAACTGCAGGGCCGAGGCCCTGAAATGGAGGCAGATGAACAGAGCAAGGCCACTGTGAGGCCTGGCGCACCTGACTTGCCATGTGAGCTCAGAAAAGTCCCTTAGCCTCTCTGAATCCCTGTTTCCTTTTCTGGATAGAATCTGGACATCTCCCTGGATTGGTTTTAAAAACATTGTCATCAACAGTGGCAGCCTGGGTTGGCCTTGGTTGGCCAAGCTGTTATTTTTATTAGTCTCTGTAGCCTCAGGGCCCAACACAGAACCTGACGCCAGTAGGTGCCAACACCGCCATCACTTACTCTGCAATCGTATGCTTTATCCAACCTCTTTTAATCCTCATGGAAACCCTCACCTGGGAGCAGGTGTGATTACAGTTCACTTTCAAAGATGGGGAAACTCAGCTATAGAGAGGTGGTAAGTGAGTGACTCATCAAAGCTACTGAGTTTCTATAGGATCAGGAGTGGGGTCCACAAAGCCACCTCTTGTATCCTGAGGTTTCCTGTTCCTGCACGATGGGTCAAAGCCCCTCATGTCATAGGTACTAAGCAGAGGTGATGGGCATGGGTCTACCGTCCAAACAGAGCCAAGGCCAGGCCCAGTTTTGATGCCAGCTGGACAAACCATTTGGTGTCTAATATTCACTTCTGTGGTCCCCAGGCCTAGCCAGAGAGGACCGAAAAGATCTGTTGAATGCTATTGGACTGAATGGAATGTGGATATTTTCTCTTTCTTTCTCTCTCCAGGAGAAGGAATTAACTGGCTTCATCACTGACTATCTCGAAGAAGCCTACATCCCAGTTGTCAATGGTGAGGGCTCCAAAAGGCTTTGGACCATGGTGCCAAGAAGCACTTCAAGCAAGAAGGGATGCCACCTGGGTGGTCTCAAAGCCCTATCACTGGATCCAGATGGGGGAAGCTAAAAGGGGGTAGAAGATAATTGCTGAATCTTTGAAGTGAATATAGTCTTAATGTCACCTGTCTGAAGACAAATGTCTCTCCCACAATTTGGGCTCTGACGCGGCCCGGTATCATAACCCTACATCTTGACCTGGGATGTAAATACATGGCAAATCAGGCTTATTAGCTCTTTGCCTGTACAGCTGGCAGGCATCATGAATCAATCACTGCACTATTTTCCACTATCCCTACCCCAGGCTGCCACTCTTTAATCAACTGCACAGCAGTCAGACTGATATGACTCTTACTCTATTTCTCAGATGTGCTCCAAGTGGGGCTCCCGCTCCCGGACTTTCTGGCCATGAATTACAACCTGGCTGAGCTGGATGTAGTGGAGGTGAGAGGAGGGGCTGGGGAAGGTCATGTCAATCAACACTGTCAGCCAATGAGTGATGAGCAAGAGGCTACCTCTCTCAAACTGGAAGGGGTAGAGCCTGGGAGGGCAGGTGGCCATCAGTATAATCCTGCCCTTTAAAACCTAGAACCCTCCTTGACCAGGGATTCCGTAGAAGGATACTTGGACTCTGCTACTTTGTTGTTCTGCCATCTTGGGCCAATTACTTCACCTCTCTCTGTGTCTCCATTTTCCGGTGCTTAAAATGGAGATGATAATACAGATATTGTCCTCATAGAGCTGTTATTATGCTTCATTGAGATAATTTACCTAAAGGCACATAGTAAGTACTCAATAAATATTAGCTTTGCATTGCATGCCAGCCTTTGAGCTTGGAGTGGTAAATGTACATTTTTCTTACTTGATCTCTCTGCTCTGGGAGGTGGGGGTGCTTGTCCTCACTTAACAGTTGAGAAAATTGAGAGTAAGAGAGGTGAAGAGACCTCCCCAGGGTCACAAGGGAAGTCTACTTCAACCTTTGCTTAAACGCCACACTGGTTTCCATGTCCTGGCAAGAGGCCCAGTTCCATCCCTGGGCCTAGGTGGTCCCTGGTCATTGCTCGCCTATCCCTTTGCCTTTTGTCAGAATGCCCTGATGCTGGACTTGAAGCTTGGCTGACCATGGCAGGACTTCCCTGCCAGCTGCCTGCTTACCACCAACCGCCTGCACCCCATGGAGGAGCCCCCCTGATTGGAGCCAGGTGGGCCTGGCGCCCTACCACTTGTGGTTGCTTCCTTTGACAAGGAGTGAATGGATCAGGTCCGGGCTGGAGCCTTGCCAATAAACAGGAGAAAGGCTCTTACAAATATCTGATGCTTCGATCTCTTTATTTTTTTAAGTGACAAATCTGTGTGTGGCTATTCTTTCCCTTTGGTGGGCTTTGGGGTCTAAGACCAGCTTGGGATCTGGAGGGCAGCTGGTCACAGCTTGGGGGAGTTCTTGAGCACATACTGAGTACCTGTTCAATGCCATGCCCAGGGCTTTACTTACACCATCTCATTTAATCTACACAATAACTCTATGGGTGGAGGGCAAGTGTCATCCCCACCTTACAGATGAGGAAATTGAGGCACAGAGAGGCCAACTCCCTTGTCCAAGGTCTTACAGTTTAGCAAGTGGCAAAGCTCTTCCTACCTTAGCTATGTGCAAAATCTTGGCAGCTTAAAGATGGCTCTATTCACTTGGAACCTGTTACCCCAGGAGCCTTTCCTGTGTCACCTTCTTTAATCCTCACAGCAGTTGACAGGGGTGGGAACTGTCCCCATTGCACTGATGAGATTGAGGCTCAGAGAGGTGGAATGACTGGCTTAGGCCACCTGGCAAGTCAGGAGGCAGAGCTGGGATTGGAATTCAGGCTGTGAAGCCAGCTTGCCTGGGTTCAAATCCTGCCTCTGCCTTCTCTTTGCTGCATGTCCTGGGCAAGTCACATCACCAATCTGAGCCTTCGTTTCCTCACCTGTAAAATGAGAATGATGACAGTACCAACCTCAGACCAACCTCAGCAGAGTTGTGAGGATCACATGAGTGAAATCATAAAAGGTGCTTAGCACAGTGCTTGGCACACAGTAAGTGCTCAACAGATGTTAGTCACGGGTGGATTTTTGAGTCAGAGAGCTGTGCACAAGTGTTTCTGTGTTGGCGTGTGGGCAGGTAACCATGTGGCCCTGAACCAGTGCACGTATCAGTGTATGAATGGCCTGTGGATGAGGTGACCTGGCGGGAGGGTCTGTGCAGAGGCAGGGCCAAGAGTGGAGGTTTGCGTGCATCTTCAAAGACAAGGCACTCCTCCACAGGAGGAGGTGGAGAGAACCTCCTGGCACAAGCCAGGAATATGGCAGGGTCGGGCTTGCAGCTCTTCACTTCGAGTCGTCTCCCAGCACGATGTGATGGAACAGGCTGAAGAGTTCCTTGTGCCTGCTTGTCTTCACCTCGAAGGATGCGGACTCTGAGTTGGTGGCCAAGGCAAAGGGAATGTTGTGTTTCCGCAGGTGGAGGATGAGTTTCTCAGCCCCTGGCATGAGCGCCACGGTGGGGAACACGTCCCTCGGCCTGGCTTGCCTTTCTTCCAGCAGCTCCTCCTTGGACACCAGGAGCCGCAGGACGTCCACGACCACCTGTGCCACCTCCAATGCCTTCTTACCCATAACCAGGGACTTCACATCCCAGATGTATTCCTTTTCATAGCAATCACATATGTCTTGAAACACCACTGAACGGAGTTGTTCAGTATCCAGAAGCAGGCCGTCCACATCGAAGAGGAGGTGGGCAGCAGGCCACAGGGGTACAGCCATGACACCTCTGCCTTGGGTCGCGTCGAGGCAACCAGGAGGTGTGCACGCACCCACCTGCCCCGCGCATGCGCACTGCGAGTTCCCACAAAGGACTTCTAAGCCCGCAAATCAGTGTCCCTTGCTAGAATGTCTTTTAAAAAAATCTAGGCTGGGCGCGGTGGCTTAAGCCTGTAATCCCAGCATTTTTGGGAGGCTGAGGCGGGCAGATCAGGAGGTCAGGAGATCGAGACCATCCTGGCCAACATGGTGAAACCCCGCTTCTACTAAAAATCCAAAAATTAGCGGGGCTTAGGTAGTGCACGCATGTAATCCCAGCTACTCGGGAGGCTGAGACAGGAGAATCACTTGAACCCGGGAGGCGGAGGCTGCAGTGAGCCAAGATCGCGCCACTGCACTCCAGCCTGGGTGACAGAGCAAGACTCTGTCTCAAAAAAACACGTATAACTTTGGGGAAAAAATGTATCATGGGCCTCCTATGATCAACTGGTGCCCCGGCCCTGGAAATTATGGGGATGGTGGCTATGTGTGTCCATATGTCTGTTGGGGTGTGTGTGTGTGTGTGTGTGTGTGTGTGTGTGAGAATGTCTGTCTCCCTGGGGTGAGGCTCTGGATGTGGAAGATTGGGGGCGTCTTTGTGAGTGGGTCTGTGTCTGGGCACATACATGTGTCTGTGGGTGGTGTGGTGTAGCCAGAGGCCTGATCAGGTCAGTGCTGCCCTAGCCATGGGGCCCTGGCAGGTACACCCTGTCCCAGCCTGGGCCAGGCCCATGCCACAGAGGAGGGAGGGCCCCTCTTGCCTCGTCCCGGATGCCAGGGCCGTCCCCTTGTCCCTCACCGTGAGCTCTAATCCTGTTACTCATCATCTCCCCAGCTCTGGGACAATGGCAGCCTTGAGGGAGGCCTGGCAGGTGCAGACGCCGGGTAATCCATGGGCTGCTGATGCCTGGCCCTGGGCATGCCAGAGACACCCCTCCACCCCCAACCCCACTTTTGGATGTTCCCACAGCATACATATGGCTCCCTAAAGTCTTGCTGCCACCCTCTCCAGGCTCAGTGTGCTGATGGGGAAGCCAGGGCACAAGCTGTTAGGGTTTGAAGACCCGGCTTCTTGCCAGGCCTTCGGTACTGTGAGGCCTTGAACAAGCCACAGCTCCTCTCTGAATCTCAGTTTACTCATCTTTACAGTGAGGAAGGGGTTAGATGCTCTGACCTCTAATCTGACGTCAACAGTCTTTGAGTGGTCAGTTCCTCCAGATTCACCCTGAGCAGAAAATGTGGGCTGGACCAGCAAGGGAGCCCTACTCCATGACCCCACTCCCTGGAGAGGCAGTGATACGAAGTCTGCTGGGCACTGCTCACCTCCCAGACTCCTCCAACCCCAGATAAGGAAGTGGAAGCCCAGAGAGATGAAGTTATTTGCCCAAGGGCACATGGCACACGTGGAGCTGGGCTTGAACCCTGTCTTCCTCAGTCCAAGTCTCTTCCTCGCTCCTTCACACCACACTCAGCAGTGGAATGCAGTGTCCTCCTTTCAAGAAACTGAGGCTCAAGCCCACAGAGTGAGAAAAGGGCAGAGCCAGGTCTTCGGTCCTGGTCCCACAGCTATTGACCCCCAGGGACTTGCCAGACAGCATCACCCTGGGAAAATGAAGACCACACAACGTTCCCTGCACCTGTGTTCATGCCAGTCCCCACCTACCTTGCCTTCTCCCTTCTCAGCCCACTCTCAGCTCGAGTAGCATGGGGAAGCCTCCCAGGGATCTCACCACCATCTGCACCCTTGGCCCCTCTCCCTTGATGCCCTAAAGTTCATTTCTAGGATACCTGTCCTCACGGCCATACCGATTAGGTGAGGGTGGCCACGTTTAATATGAGCCCATCTTGCAGATGGGAGAACTGTGGCTCTGTGAGTTAAGTCACTCAATTGTGAGTGACAGAGCCAGAATTTGGACCCAGAAATTTTGACTTCAGAACCTTCACTCTAGGAACTAGTGCCCCAGGGTATTTTTCCTCATCAAGTCCCTCCCCTGCTCTAATCCCTTCCCTTGCTCCCCATCACCCTCACCAGGGATCTCAAAAGCGCTGCACATCGCATTGCCTTGGGGGCTTGTTAAACGTCCCCCTAGGTGCTTGTCAGTGGAGTCAGGGTTGCCAAAGGTGGCCCCAGGGTATTTTTCCTCATCAAGTCCCTCCCCTGCTCTAATCCCTTCCCTGGCTCCCCATCACCCTCACCAGGGATCTCAAAAGGGCTGCATATCGCATTGCCTTGGGGGCTTGTTAAACGTCCCCCTAGGTGCTTGTCAGTGGAGTCAGGGTTGCCAAAGGTGAGGCCAAGAGATATGCATTTTAATGAATCCCTTCCTGTGGGAAGGCCCAATCCCTGACCCGGCTTTGGTGCATGAGGGGATATAGGGATGCCTGAGGAGCTTATAGGGGCATCAGAGTCCCCTGTGGTGTGGGGATCAGGAAGGAGGAGGAGAGACGAGGCAGGCCAGAAACTAGGTAGCATTTTCCTCTCTTCCAGGAGGCTAGGCTGGGCGGTGGTAAGACAATGGATGTTAGACAGGCTGGCTGGACTCCTGTGTGACATCCAGCAAGCTAGTTACCCTTGCTGAGCCTTAGCTCCTTGAGTGTAAGAAGAGGAAATAATAACAGCACTGACCTCACTGGGTCTTTGTGATGACTAGATGTGCTCACATACAGCAGGTGCCTTGTGCACGGTATGTGCTCAATAAACACTAGTGTTAGCTTTCTTTTCTCTTCCTTCAAACAAATGCCTTAAAAACATTGGGGATGCCCAGCACAGCTGAGGCTGTGGAGTAGCAGCAGTGACCATGTGCAGTGGCATAATGCTTGGGGGAACTGTAGCCATAGAGAGTATGGCTAAACATGTACATGCATGCTGTGCTCCAGCAATTCCGCTCCTTGTTATTTACCCAAAAGAAATGAAGAATAAAAACATATGCCCAAGCTGAGTGTGGTGGTTCATGCCTGTATTCCCAGCACTTTGGGAGGCTGGGGTGGGAGGATCACTTGAGGTCAGGAGTTCGAGACCAGCCTGGCCAACATAGCGAAACTCTGTCTCTACGAAAAACAAAAATTAGCCGGGTGTGGCAGGGTGTGCCTGTAGTCCCAGCTACTCGGGAGGCTGAGGCAGGACAATCGCTTGAGCCCAGGAAGAGGAGGTTGCAGTGAGCTGAGATCACACCACTGCACTCCAGCCTGGGTGACAGAGCAAGACTCTGTCTCAAAAAAGAAAAAAAAAGTCCACCAACAAGAGTGTTCATAGCAGCTTCATTCATAATAGCCAACACCTGGAAAGCCCAG